CTGGCACCTGGTGAAGATACTAGTCTAGTTTCCTCTTGAAGGTTTCAACACTTGTTCCAGCAGTGTTTCTGATATCTTCTGGTAAGATGTTGAAAAGTCTTGGACTCCGAATGTTGATACAGTGTTCCCTTATTGTCCTCACTGCACCCCTGCTCCTCACTGGGTTTATTTTACACTTGCTCCCATATCTCTCACTCCAGTATGTTGTTATGGCAGTGTGCAGATTTGGGACCAGACCCTCGAGTACCTTCCAGGTATATATTATCATGTACCTCTCCTCCGCTCCAATGAGTACATGTTCAAGACTTGCAGGCGTTCCCAGTAGTTTAGGTGCTTTACTGGCTCAATGTGAGCTGTAAACGATCTCTGTATTTGTTCCAGCTCCGATATTTCTCCTGCCCTGAACGGGGCCGTCAGCACTGAGCAATATTCTAAGTGAGGGAGCACTAGCGATTTGAAGAGTATCACCATCAGCATTGTTTTCCTTGTTTTGAAAGTTCTCAATACCCTCATAATGGTAGTGGGTTTGTGTCAACCATCTTTGATATTGTTTTAATGTCACCTTTGCACCATTTATAATATTTCTGGTGGATTTTTAAATGTTTATACAGTAGTGTACTGTATAATGAAATAAACAGAATAGAGGAAATCAGCTCTAATATACATTATTTAGGTATAAATACTGGTCAGAGAGCGTTAGTCCGAGGCGTTGGTAAATGAGTACGTTTCTAAGTGAGGAGAAGCTGTATATTTTTTTAACACGTCACTCATCTGCTGAGGCAGGGTGACCCAAAAGAGAAAGAAACGCTTCCACCATCATTCACACATAATCACTGTCTTTGCAGGCATTGTTCTTCCCACATCCAGGACTCGAGTCCTGGAAGTCCTTGAATCCCTTAACAAAATATTACCCTACTCATACTCCAACAGCACATCAGGTCCCAAAAACCATTCATCTCCATTCACTCCTGTCTAACACACTCACAAATGCCTGCTGCATGTCCAGGCTTGCACACAAAACCTCTTTAACTCACTCCCTCCATCCTTTCCTAGAATGACCGCTACCCCTTCTCTCCTTCACTACAAATTTATACACCCTCCAAGTCATTCTGTTTTGCTCCACCCTCTCTAAATGACCAAACTGCCTCAATAACTGCTCTTCAGCCCTCTGAATAATACTTTTTGTAACCCCACACCTCCTCCTAATTTCCACACTACGAATTCTCTGCATAATATTTACACCACACATTGCCCTTAGGCACAACATCTCCACTGCCTCCAACCTCCTCCTCGCTGCAGCATTCACAACCCATGCTTCACACCCATATAAGAGTGTTGGTACCGCTATACTCTCGTATATTCCCTTCTTTACGTAACTCCATGGGTAATATTTTTTGTCTCCACAGATACCTCAATGCACCAATTGCCTTTTTTCCTTTATTGGTTCTATGGTTTACCTCCATCATGAACCATCTACTCCCAAATATTTGAACACATTCACTTCTATACTCCCTTCCTCCAATGTGATATCCCTTTTTTTTCTTTACCTAACTCGTTTGATACCCTCATCACCTTACTCTTATCTATGTTCACTTTCAACTTTCTTTACACACCCTCCCAAATTTGTCCACTAACCTTATGCTCATTTTTTATGCATGTGTGGAGAGTTCACAGTTGTTTGGTAGAGATTGTTAAAGAGTTCTTAATATACTAATTATGATTTTTGTTAATAATGGATAAGGAATATTATTTTTTCTTCCTCTTATTTTTTTCACCATACGTATACAGTAGGCCAAATGTGATCAGTTAACACTTTTTCATATTGACATAATTGCAAAATTATGACAAATTTCAGTGAACACACTGGGTGGAGTATATGTAGGGAAAAATGTGGCGTGTGCCTTTTTTTTTTTCTCTCTGTCTGACAGCGAGTGTAAGGGCAGGTCCATTGTCTTACAGGGCAAGTTGTCTTAATGTACACAACCTCCCTTGCCTCAGTGCTCCATTCATGTGTCTTCCTGCCGTACTGTTTGCCTCCACTCACACAATCCCCCATGGCCACATGCTTTCACCTTCATCCTAACCAGCAGCCTTTGCCTACACAACCTACCTATAGAATTCCCCCCATAGCCACATGTCTATACCTACACCATATCCCCACAGCCACACCCCACCATTATCTCAAGACCACACCTTGCCCAACCCTATGCCTTCACCCATGCCATTTCCTAAAAAAACTCACACCCACACCTTACAAAACCTTTCACTCTAACACATCATCCACACACCTAGTCTCCCACCACCCTTATTACCACACACACCAACTACTACACACTCACCCATTATCCACACCATGACCCACACCAGGCCACTGGCACAACCACACCCTTCACCCACACCACTTTCCCAGTTTCAAACCCACACAGCCCCACACTCATACCTTACCCATGCTCTCACTGCCTATATACCCTAATGTGCCATCCACACCTACTCACATAGCTACCTACTACCCTCATTACTGTCCACACCACCAACCACACACTCACCCTCCCAGTCACCCCTCATCCACACTGGGCCCCCAACATAACCACACCTTTCACCCGCACCACTCACCTAAAGATTCAAGCCCACACCCACATCTTACCATTGCTTTCATGACCCACATATCCCACCATGCCAGCCACACACCTAGTCACTCAGCTGCCCATCACCACTCATACTACAACTCACACCTCCACCCACACCAGGCCAGCAACACTTCCACCCACATTAGGACACCAGCACCACCACCACCCACACTGTCACACTGTCTTGTTGCTTCCATCTTCCACCCCCTGCCTCTACACCTCCCAACACCAGTCTTCAGTTCCTGCCTCCATCCCTCCACCACTTGATCTCCACCTCCAGCACCAGCAATCCACTGGTCCTCAGTCTCCAATATCCCACACCATAACCCGTAACTACAACTGCTCTAACTCCTCCTGTGTACAAAGCAATCCCTCCTTTATAACCCCCATACAGTTAAAATGGGTGGGACAGCTGAACAATAAGGCACTTCCATCCACAGGAGGGCCCCACTTATACAATAGGTTAGGTTCCAGGGTACAGCTGTAAGGCAAAAATTGCTGTAAAGTGAAACATAGCCTTTTTTCACTTTCAAATATATATATAAGCCTGATAACATGCTTACACTATGACTCACGAAATCATAATGACACGATTGCAAACGAACCATACCACGGGCGGGGATAGAACCCGCGACAGTCTGGAGTTTTGAGACTCTCTGATCGTGGGTTCTATCCCCGCCCGTGGTATGGTATGCTTATACTATCATATATTAACCCTTTCAGGGTTTCAGCCGTACTAGTACGGCTTACGCACCAGGGTTTTTGACATACTAGTACGCCTAAATTCTAGCACCCTCAAATCTAGTGAGAGATAGCTGGTAGGCCTACATATGAAAGAATGGGTCTATGTGGTCAGTGTGCGCAGTATAAAAAAATCCTGCAGCACACAGTGCGTAATGAGAAAAAAAAAACTTTGACCGTGTTTTTGGATTAAAACAGCGACTTTGCACTGTATTTTCGTATGGTATTTATTGTTGTATTCTAGTTTTCCTGGTCTCATTCTATAGAATGGAAGACATATTACAGAAAATGAGATGATTTTGACTGATTTTACAATGAAAAGTACCTTGAAATTGAGCTCAGAGTAGCAGAAATGTTCGATTTTTACCAAAGTTCAAAAGTAAACAAATCATGCTAAGCGTCCAATACACGTCAACTGGTGAGTCTAATATTCTTTCACAAGTGCGCCGATATTATTTATACCATTTTTTACACTAATGGAATAGTCTGCATAACAGTAAATCTTCTATTTTTTGTGAGAATAAAAATTCAAAGTGGAAAGCAAAAGAATGTAAGAGGGGCGTTGGGACGTGACTAATGAACAGAGGAAATGTCATTTTAGTGCCAGGAATGTCTTTCTTGTTTATTCTGGACCCTATTTGGAAATTGACATCTTTTGAAATTTGTGTGAAATTGACAAAATTGCTAAATTCTGACCACTGTATTGGATAGTTGAAATCGGTAAATGGGTGGTTTCTTGCACTCATTCGATAGAAAAAATGGAGTTCTAGCGAAATATTCATGATTTTTGTCGACTAGTACAGTGGAATTGGCCGAAAATAGGGCTCAAAGTGGGCAAAATCGCCGATGCGTAAACATATTCGAGACCACTAACTTAGCGAGAGCATAATTCCGTAAGTTTTCCATCAAATTTCATACTTTTGATGTCATTATGATCGGAAAAAGATTCTCTATCTTTTCATAAGAAAAAATAATTTTTTTTTTTTTTTTTTTGAAATTTGGGGAACCCTGAGAACAAGTCTCTGAGAGGGCCTGTCGACCCTGAAAGGGTTAAGTGAGCAATAGAGCTAGGCCTAAAAAATGTATATGCAGTACACACATTACTTACCTTAAAATATTTTCGTCCTTAGCTTATAGTGAGTGGTGAATATGTTTATTATAGGAAGTCTGAATAAATGAAGAATGGGTATAATTGAAAACTGCTGCATCAGTGAAATGCTGTAAAGCAGAGTTCTGTAAAGCAGGGCTGCCTGTATGGTAAGTCCTTGACGTACAAACACGTTGAGAATCTTCTGTATTGTGTATAATATCATACACAATACAGAAGGTCCCCAATGTGTTTGTAAGTTGAGGAATTCCTGTACTAGTGGAGATGTGGATGTGGGGTCTTTGACACACATCATTACATTATTATCAGTGTTTTTACAATTTCAAGACTTAAAAAATTTGGGTGGCTGCTTTGGGGGTGTAAGTGTTTTTTCCATATATTCTTTTCATTTTACATGATTTTGTTATAAGCCATTTTCATTAACGTAACTACCGTGTTAGCTGACAGTCAAATATACATTGATATTTTGTGTAAATTTATGATGTAATTTTCTTGTGTTTTAGTTATGTTTTACATACTTGCAGGTAATGAACTTCTCAGCAGAATTGGTGGCAACCTTCATAGCAGTAGTGGGAATCCTGTCTGTTGTCGCTCAAACCGCACTGCTTAGTCTCCTCATGAAGAAGCTCTCTAACAAGCATGTCATCATGGTAAGGGATTTGTTCAGATTTCTCAACCTAATGTGTGAAAAGTCTAATATTTCCTGTATCCAACAGAAAAAAAAAAGACAAATACTTATGTAGTTGATCATCAATTATCAGGGATTGATTTTTTGGCAGCCAGCATTATTTGATGGTTTTGCAGAGAAAGAACATACAAAGGACTATACAAATTTGTGGTAATTATCCCTTTTCCACTCAGGGTACTGGATAATCTGTGGTCTTCTGTAGTAAAATGTGTAATGCGGTAAAATTTGTCATCACGGGACTAAATATGACATTTTGAATAATAAGCAATTCATTTTTCTTTTAATTTACCTTGGCACTTAAAAAAAGGAAGTTTGTGCAGTGTGCAACTATGCCTGGTTTGAATACATATGGTAGTTTGTTTTAACTGACTCCCATGTAATGGGTTTTGGATTTAACAGACAAATAACATTAACTAATATTTTTAATTTATCTCTTCAAACAGGTGTAGTGTCTGATATGTGGAAGATGGCTAATGTAATTCCTATTTTTAAAACAGGGGACAAGTCGTTACCGTCAAATTACCGCCCAATAAGCCTGTCTTCAATTGTAGGCAAATTACTAGAGTCAATTATAGCTGAGATTATAAGAAGCCATCTGGATAAGCATAGCTTGATTAATGATACTCAGCATGGATTCACGAGAGGCCGTTCTAGGTTTTGTCAATTAACATAAATTCAGTACTTACGTTTTTATTTATGATATATTTTTTTTATCTTGGTAAATTTTTTACCAACTGCATTTATATTCTGTGTATGTAATTTGTATGCATGTATTATTTATTTGGTTAGATTTATTATTTACATTGCATTAGTTTGTGAGTGGTTGTCAGGCAGGGAGATGGGAGGAAAGGAGGGAGGTGTATAGCCATGAGTCAGTATGGAAGGAAGCCCAAGCCCCAGCAAGGAAGGGAAGTGATTTGGCTAGGAGCAAGGAACAGAGGGGGGCCTTGCCATCCCTTTTTGCCTCATAGCCTTGCTATCCCTCTCTTGTTGCCTTCCTCACCGATTCACAGCCTTCCTGCCTCTTGCCATCGGTTCTTACCTCTCAGTCTCCCTCATTGGTTCACTGCCTCCCACCCTACCCCTTCTCAATCCTTCCTTGCCTTTCTCCATCCTCTTTGCCTCTCACTATTCCCTTTACTGATTCAACTTCCTACCTCCCTCCATCCCTCTCACTACCTCACTCCCTCCCTCCCTGCTTCTCTTCATCCCTCCTGGCCTCTCTCCCCATTCTTCCTTGCCTTTATCTGTTTCTATCACCAGTTCACTGCATCACCATCATCCTGTCTCCCTCACTGGTTCAATACCTTCTTCACTGGTTAACCACCTCACTGCATCTCTCAGATTCACTGCTACCCTCACTACCTTCTTTTCATGCATGTGTAAAGAGTTTTATTTTTTTAGAAATTGTTGAAGATCAGCACTAATGACTTTTGTAATTAGTAGAAAAACAGAAATGAGCAGGAAGGGTAAAGAGAAAGGAGAGTCTTTCAACGTATATTATGCTAATAGCCATAGTGCTAGGAATAAGATGGACGAATTGAGATTAGTTGCTAGTGCAGGAAACATTGATGTATTTGCCATAACTGAGACGTGGTTTAATTCAAAAAGTCGGGACATGCCTGTGGAATGTCACATTCAGGGTTTTAAATTGTTCCAAGTAGATAGAAGTATCGGGAAGGGGGATGGGGTGGCATTGTATGTCCGAGATCGCTTGAACTGTTGCATAAAAACGGGTATTAAGTTTGAAGTAACACATACAGAGTCTGTTTGGATAGAATTTTCAGAGGGGCATGAAAAATTGATTTTAGGTGTGATATACCGTCCCCCAAACTTAGATAGGGACCAAGGGAGACTACTATGGGAGGAAATTGTTAAGGCTACAAGGCACGATAATATAGTAATTCTAGGAGACTTTAACTTTAGGCACATTGATTGGAATTTCTTGACTGGGAATTTAGAATCATACGACTTCTTAGAAATAGTTCAGGATTGTTTTTTGAAGCAGTTTGTGACAGAGCCTACAAGGGGAAATAACCTGCTTGACTAAGTTCTGGCAAACAATGAATCCCTTGTTAATAATTTAGAAATTTCAGAGGAACTGGGTGTTAGCGACCACAAATCAATTACATTTAGCATTGAATGGAAGTATGATAGTAGGGATAACTCAGTAACAGTCCCAGATTTTCGCTTAGCAGATTACGATGGGCTTAGAGAACACTTATCGTCTGTTGACTGGGGTAACGAAGAGAGCTATCACTATGAAAGTTTTCTGAACACTATACATGTTGCTCAAAGAACGTTTATCCCGTATAAAGAAATTAGATCAAATAGAAATGACCCAAAGTGGATGAATAATAGGCTGAAATATCTACTAGGGCATAAGAAGGGAATTTATAGGCGTATCAAAAGAGGTGAGGGTCATCTTTTGATTCAATATATTGACATAAAGAGGGATATTAAAAAGGGGATAAGAAAAGCTAAAAGGGGCTATGAAATTAAAGTTGCTAGGGATTCGAAAACTAACCCAAAAAGTTTTTTCCAGGTCTATAGAACAATAGTTAGAGATAAAATAGGTCCCCTTAAAAATAACTATGGGCATCTTACTGACAAAGAGAATGAAATGTGCTCGATATTAAACAATTATTTTCTCTTGGTTTTTACACAGGAAGACACTAACAATATTCCAGTAATTAATTTTTATAGTGGGCCTGAAGAAGATAAATTATGTAACATCACAGTCACTAGTGAAATGGTTGTGAAACAGATAGACGGACTGAAGCAAAATAAGCCGCCGGGTCCTGATGAGCTTTTTTCAAGGGTTCTTAAGGAATGCAAAATGGAACTCTGTGAACCATTAACTAATATTTTTAATTTATCTCTTCAAACAGGTGTAGTGTCTGATATGTGGAAGATGGCTAATGTAATTCCTATTTTTAAAACAGGGGACAAGTCGTTACCGTCAAATTACCGCCCAATAAGCCTGTCTTCAATTGTAGGCAAATTACTAGAGTCAATTATAGCTGAGATTATAAGAAGCCATCTGGATAAGCATAGCTTGATTAATGATACTCAGCATGGATTCACGAGAGGCCGTTCTTGTCTAACTAATTTATTAACTTTCTTCAGTAAAGCTTTTGAGGTTGTTGATCACGATAAAGAATTTGATATTATTTACTTAGATTTTAGTAAGGCTTTTGATAGAGTTTCGCACCAAAGACTGTTAAAGAAAGTGGAAGCTCATGGCATTGGGGGAAAAGTGCTCTCATGGATCAAGTCATGGCTCACAGACAGGAAGCAGAGAGTGTCCATAAATGGGGTTAAATCCGAGTGGGGATCTGTAACAAGTGGGGTTCCACAGGGATCAGTCTTGGGCCCGTTGTTGTTTATAATATATATCAGTGACCTTGATGAGGGTATTACTAGTGATAGTGGAAGGAAGGCGGGGTAGGGGTCGGCCTAGGAAAGGTTGGAGGGAGGGGGTAAAGGAGGTTTTGTGTGCGAGGGGCTTGGACTTCCAGCAGGCATGCGTGAGCGTGTTTGATAGGAGTGAATGGAGACAAATGGTTTTTAATACTTGACGTGCTGTTGGAGTGTGAGCAAAGTAACATTTATGAAGGGGTTCAGGGAAACCGGCATGCCGGACTTGAGTCCTGGAGATGGGAAGTACAATGCCTGCACTCTGAAAGAGGGGTGTTAATGTTTCAGTTTAAAAACTGTAGTGTAAAGCACCCTTCTGGCAAGACAGTGATGGAGTGAATGATGGTGAAAGTTTTTCTTTTTCGGGCCACCCTGCCTTGGTGGGAATCGGCCAGTGTGATAATAAAAAAAAATAATAATAAAATGAGCAAATTCGCCGATGACACAAAGATAGGTAGGATAATTGATTCAAACGTAGATGTTAGGGAACTTCAGGAGGATTTAGACAAACTCTATTCTTGGTCAGAAAAGTGGCAGATGCAGTTCAATGTAGATAAATGCAAGGTTCTGAAGCTCGGGAGTGTCCATAACCCTAGCACTTATAAGTTAAATAATGTAGAACTTAGCTATACAGATTGCGAAAAGGACTTGAGGGTTATGGTGAGCAGCAACCTTAAATCAAGACAGCAGTGCCTAAGCGTACGTAATAGGGCAAATAGATTATTGGGATTTATATCAAGAAGTATAAGCAACAGAAGTCCAGAGGTTATACTGCAGCTTCATACATCATTAGTAAGGCCTCACCTTGATTATGCAGCTCAGTTCTGATCTCCATATTAGAGAATGGACATAAATTCATTAGAAAACATTCAGCGTAGAATGACCAAGTTAATACATAGCATTAGAAATCTTCCTTATGAAGAAAGATTGAAGACTCTTAAATTACATTCACTTGTTAGACGAAGAATGAGGGGAGACATGATCGAAGTGTATAAGTGGAAGATGGGTATTAATAAAGGGGATATTAATAAGGTCTTGAGAATATCTCTCCAGGAGAGAACCTGCAGTAATGGACTTAAATTGACAAGTTTAGATTTAGAAAGGATGTAGGAAAGTATTGGTTTGGAAATAGGGTAGTTGATGAGTGGAACAGTTTACCTAGTTGGGTTATTGAGGCTAGGACTTTGGGTAATTTCAAATTTAGGTTGGATAAATATATGAGTGAGAGGGGTTGAATTTGAGTTGGACTTTCAAATGAGTGGATAGAGTTATCAGAGCTTATTTCTTGGGTAGCATTGAAAATTAGGTTGGGCAAATGTTTTGTTAGTGGGATGGATTGTAAAGGACCTACCTAGTATGGGCCAACAGGCCTGCTGCAGTGATCCTCCTTTCTTATGTTTTTTTTTTTTTTTTTTTTCAACAAGTCGGCCGTCTCCCACCGAGGCAGAGTGACCCAAAAAAGAAAGAAAATCTCCAAAAAGAAAATGCTTTCATCATCATTCAACACTTTCACCACACTCACACATAATCACTGTTTTTGCA